GTTAGTACTTGATGACATAATATTTATGTTATCTTCAACATTGTTTACTCTACTTGTACTTGAATTTCACATACCAACGTATGACACGATTGACTAGTCTATATTACTGTTATTGTTTTAATTATTAGGTTCCTTCTACAACAGATAATTGTACCTACTAACTAACCAGATGTACTACATACGCAACAACAATACCTGAATATTCTCTTGTTCTAAATATTATTAAGATTGCAAAGTTTCACATGTCAATGTCCAAAGTAATGAACGCTTACGCCAAGGTACTAACTTAAGTATGATTCTGCACTCTATCATTTAATTCGCTTACTGGCAGAAACTTCTCTTGCATGAGATTGCAGATTGAACATAACTTTTGTTCAGGTCGCTAGCTCAATATCGTAGCTGAAATACCCAATTATATATATTTATAAAAAGTGAATTTGTTGACCTATTACTTGTCAACCCTTATTCGGAGTTCTATCTAATCACAGTTCAGAATTGAGAAGACAATCATATTAATAATCCAAATGTCCTTAATTTCCAACTCTTTCATTAAAACAACGAAGGCTTATACAAAATTAAATTTTAGCTAAAATAAAATTAAAATTACATGCAAGAAAACGTTCAAAGGAGACGACTAGGTGGCCGCAGTACCGGAACATTTTTACTGCGGTCTAAGGTACAAGGTGAAGAGTTCAATGTCTCAGAAGGACCAGCATGGAACAAATTTGTATCTTGGTCCCTGAACAACATTATAGCTTTCATTTTTGTGAATTAAATTTTATGAGTGGTCAAAAGAATTCGTAACAAAGAAGAAAACGAATTTGCTAAAAAACTAAAGATATGGAAGAAACTGTCACATTCTTTTATTGTTTACTGAGACATAATTTAGAATGTTTACTTAAAACAGGATTTTTTTAAATTTTATTTTGTTCTTAAAAATATATTAGTTGCTACACTTCACGGGCACCGCTCGTCGCTTGTGGAGCCTCTCAAAATCGTCGACGTCGACGCCACATCTGCGACGTTGCCCGTTCATTTGAAGCTAGAGCGACTACGAAATACTCCATTAGAGCGCAGCTGTCGGACGAATTCGTAATTGGCAGATCTATAAATATTTCCCAGTAATGTTACCGTAACCTGTTCTAAACTATCCCAATCCCTCAGCGTAGGGACTCACTTAAATGACGCAGGCCGTCTCATCAGTCTAGGGTAATCAGTCATGAACAGTAACTGAAGAAACTAATCACCCGCCTCGAAAGACTTCTTATCCAACTCTTTTACATTTCTCTTTTAACGAACTGGAGAGGTGAGCAGAGATTAATTTTAAATATAAAGTAAATAATTACTTTACTAATAATAATTAATAATTAATCTACTACACGCGTCTAATGATAATTAATTGACAACTTATCGCTACATAGAGTCACACCTACGGTATGTACCTGAACTAAAATTGGTACAGCTTTAGATAATTAATTCTGGTACAATATCTCTGATAAATATACAGTTGAATAATTACAATCGATTCCTTAGTTACAGCGTTTGTGGCACACCAAAGACTTCTTTCAATTACGCTGAACACGATCCAGCTTAAAAAATGTTTCAAAGAGGCTTTAAGTTGGCAAAGTGCTCATTTTAATTATATCGAGACTAAGCAAAACGATTATTACACATTAAGCTCTCGCCATTCAGAGAGCGTATACTTGGAAGTTACATTAATTAATTCTCTTAAATCAAAACAACGCTCCTCGAAAGTCTCCGGTGGTTCACTTTAAATTTAATTGTGGAGGGGCGAAAAGCAGAAACAAATTGCCCAAGGAAATTCGAAGCGGGAAATTCCAGCTTGATATTTGGTTTAAAACCGTGTAATTATAAAAAGGACGTGAGTATAATAGCACAAGCAGTGAAAGATATTATGCTAAGTACAAAGAACCTAATATTCAAATAAGACGGTCTCTGCCATTGAGTTAAACATAGTCTTGAGCTGGTGAAATAATGGTAGAAAAACATATTAAGTATATATTGTACGTACCTACTAGTTACTAATTAAAACAATAACTGCAATAAAATAAAATATTAAACAATTACCTGTTTCGACTTTGACTACGTCAACTCCGACTTTGGATAGAGTATTTTTAACCTTATCTGTTACACGTATGACTGGACAATCCTCAATCCTACACAATTATCTAAGATATCACTTATCAATGACTCAATAATAATGACTATGTATATTTTTACTGATATCGACCTACAAAGCCATGTAAGTTATGTTAAAAATATTATTGAATCAGTAAACAATGCTGACTTGCTAAAAATATATTTGTGACAACCGTTACAACAAATTAAAGGTTATTAACCTAACCTTTACTATAATGCTAGATTTTGACAACATATTTAAATACCTAATAGATGTTTAAAATACATCTGTATGAAATACACTTATTAGGTATTCAAATATGTTGTCTACATACCTATTTTTAAAACCCACATACCATACCTACGCAATTGTATGTCTACATATTTTTTCCGTTGATTTTCTACAAAGATACACTATAGAAGAAAAATATTGTTCATCTTATCTAATTACCGGAATATTTTAATTATACAAATAAACTTATACCAAGTTTATTTAACATAATTTATTTTATAAAAATAGTGGTGTTTATTCTAGATTTGAACGAGAGACATCTTTGCTATCCTGATATCCAAATAAGTTTAAAGTCCACAAACAAACATTCAAACACATTGTCAATGGGTTTCATAACCTCATTTCCATGAACATGCAGCAAGCCACCTCCCGCGAATTGAATGTTGTCAAAATTTAATAGGAAATTGAGCGAAATATTCATTGCCGGGTTTCAACCCCTGACGAATTCGTTATCAGATAGCTAATAATCCAATTGAAATGGGCTGTTCTTGCGTAGGACAGAAATTGCTTCAATCTTTTGCCGGAAAAATAGAGCTCTATTTTTTACAAGCTCTTATTTAACTTGGAATGGATAAGTGTATGTGTGTGTGTGTGTGTGTGTGTAAAATGGAACTTTGCAACCTTAAATTGTATTAAATCTTCAACCTACTGTACTGAAATTTTGTATATCTACATACTACACGTTTGGCTTATCTACATGACCACACATTCTAAACTGCATGAAACCTAATTTTTGACGAATATTATATGACTCTGCAGCTCTGGCAGCTCATAACTATATTGTTAAAAGTTAAAAAGAAAATCTATCAATGTTTACTTAATTAAACACGGCACGGCCATGATTCCTTAAACAGGTAGATGTCTCTGTTTTGTACCTTCTTGTTATTTTGTCCCTGTCACCTATGTTTGCGTGATCAACCACAAAATCAACAAAGAAGCCCTATTAGCTACGCTACAAATGCCTACACAGAATCCATCTACATAGCTAATCCATTAGTCTAATGTACAATATACCTATACTTATAAAGCCAGAGTGTATGTGAGTACCTACATTTCTGCTATAACTTTATATAGGTACGTAGTAGGTAGGTTAATCCGATAATTAACTACAAAACAGCCGTTAAATTGTATTATATCCCGTGTAACGTATGCACGGTTCCCGAAGGCTATGTCCCGGCTTGTTCGGCCTCCATGGTACATGGGAACGACTAATTGCCGGGACGACAAGCGAGTGCGATTGGCAGCTCGTAGGCACGCGTGTGCGACAGATCAAAGCATCACTAATTAATATCACCTATCACTTATCAGTGTCCCCAGCAGAACATTGGCGCTACAAATGAGAAAATACCCTAATCTTAATTGTTTACTTTGATCATAATCTCTTGGAAATTAAGACCCTATGAATATTTTAGATAAGTACCAAGTTTATTTATAGATGTTATTGTCGTTGTTGTTGTTTCTTGTAGTACGTTACATTCTATTTTAAGACCTTATCAAAATCGCAATCACAATAACATGACTGTTAATTATTTCATAATAAAGAAAACATTTCACTAAACGCCTGTTTCATAAGAACAAAGAAAGTTTTAGGTTTAGTAGATATATGTATAAATCGCTATCGTCTCCAACAGATGCAAGCGCCACCATTTTGAGTAGGTACGACTGGGGCATGAAGGGAGGGAATTATTATTATCCGGCCAATGTTCCAATCGAATGCCTCCGGAGACAACGCAGATTGTGACGGAAATTTGTTCCAAACGTCATTTCGAACCACCTTGCCACCTAGACGCTTCAAGAAAAATGGTAATTTCCTTGCTTGCACCATACTTCGTGTTTTGCTATTGTACATACATAAGTATGTACACATCATGTACCTACCTATAATCCTATTGATACGTATTTGTGTTTATAGTTTTCTCCGCGTGTATTATATATTTTTTTCTAGACGAAATAAGATTAGACCTAGATAATCAGGTAATATACTAGTTCGACTTGCCTACCATTCTTCATTTTGCAAAACTGCCCTTACGTTTTATGGTTTTCCGATGAGTAGCAGAACCCATGAGCAAGCAAGGCGTAACACTAGGAGAGTTTTGGTTTTTTAAGTACATAGTTCATACCTGTAATAGTTAGCTATAGGATAAACGACCTCAACATATTTCGGCACAACTGTATGTAAGGTATAGTTCTCTTCGCTATCTCAATAGCCATAACTTTTCTTATTTGTATGAAAACTATCTAACTTAGTAAATTCCCTTTACCAAATTCGAAAGGAATGAAAGTTTGGAAGCGATCGTTCAATTTCTCGATGCGACGCACCAAAGCAGAGGGATCCAAATTGAAAGTCACTTGAGAAATGATTTTCCGAGTTTATCGGATCTTCTGATAAACTGCAGACGCTTCGTGACTGCTCATTGCTTCACAATGTAGAGATGTATACCTTTCTAGCTAGTATCTACCTCAATTTATTTTCTATATTTTTTTTTATAATGTAGATATTTTTAATATTTCACCCACTGTAAACAAACGTTATTGCAAATGTAAAATGCATAGTTACAATAAAAACAGCTTTACGATCGGAAACGAAATCAACAACGTAACATAAAAATACTGAACTTTATGTAGTACGTAATAAATATTACCAAGGTAATGTTATGCTTAAAATGTTTATAAATAAAATGTTTTTTTATAGTGCAATAATAGTTGCTGCAATAATAAATCATGTGTCATGCAACGCAGAAGAAAGGTATTGAGATATACGATGTATTTTAAATTGATTTTTTGCTTCCCAGATTGTAGTACTACCTAGTAATTGACCAATAATTACATATTTAGGTCATCATCATCATATATTATTAGCCAGAAGACGTTTACTGCTGAACATAGGCCTCCCCCAATGACTTCCAGATAGGCCAGTTCGAAGAGACTTGCATCCAACGGCTCCCTGCGACCTTAATTAGGTCGTCTGACGATGTTATCCAATTTATGTAGACTGCTGTCTTATTACTTTTAGAATTTCTTTTTTACACAATTTTGGATATTTAAGTAAAGTAGCTATTTAGTATTTCACCTTTTCTCATTTGCTATTATTACCTACTTGACGCCTTTTCTTTAATTTCAGGAGTAAAGAAGCTTTAGCAATAACATTAGATACTACCATCGCTTTCTATACTATGTTTGATAGATGTATAAATTCAGCGATGCCGTCTATGAAGTAAGTGTTTATCTTTATTATGGTCCTTATGTAAAACACAGGAATACAGACAGGCTCTACAGCAATAGTGACTTTTTTAAGGCTAGGTAATCATAATCTCGTACGAGGTTATAGAAAAGATCGTTTCACACATTTTTATCGAATAAACAAATGAACCGTTATTAATATATTTACCTTTAGTTAATATTGATTTAAAAACAAACAAAACTATTAATTTAATCTATTGGTTTCAATTTTAGATTTGCGACGGATGATCTTAAAAGTTTCGTAAATTATCCATCTAAAACTACTGTGGGATTTGCACCAAAATTCACTAGCAATCGAAAGTTTTTTGCGAACATGATAAGTACGCCAGAATTCAGGAATACACTAGCAAGGGATGAAGAAGAACTTAGACAGGATTTGATAAAGAAAATGAAGTATTGTGACGTTGTTGTCATGGATCAAGATTTGTTGCCAGCCCTGTACGACCGGGAAGTAGACCAGTCCAAAATGTAAAAATCTATATTTTTCGATTTGTGTTTTATTCATTCATGGGAGTATCAAAATGTCAATAGGGAGTAGCCGGACGGTTAATAGAGTTGCGAACAGCAGTTGTTATAACCGCAAGGAAATAAATCGAAAGCCCATAGATGGTGAACTGGTGGAGCATAGAATTAGAATATTTCTGTTGGTAGCAGTCAAGTCACAAAAGTCAATAAATTAGTTATAGTAGGTAGCCCTAACCTAGAATTTTCTATTGTCGTTTTTGTTCCTATGCATATATAACACCTACCTACACTCTAATTACAATTTGTGGATCGAAACGAACCTGCGACACATTGGACTGTAGCAGGTTGCTCAGGCATTGCGACAAACATAATGGTGGTTCTCACCCCATTTACCTAGTAGGTACTTTTTTTCGTGTATAGTTTTTATTGAATGTTAAGCGATAATTCATTACACCACATTCACATAGGTGAATCACAAAAAATAATTTGGAATAATTGAAGTAGCTAGTATCTGAGTAGTTATTTGTCATTTTTATCGATTTTAAAAAGCTGAGGTACCTACCTCCAAGTAGGTACCTACCTACGTACTATATTCGGATGATTATTAATTATGGTATATGGTCCAAAGTGAGTGATTCAGTCCAAATCAATATTAGTTCCATCTGTCAAACCGACAAACACTTTTTTCCCAAGCTGTAAATGTAATCACTAACACATTTTACTCCAAACAAAACGCTGAACGTCGAAAACCTACCTACCTGTCGATGTCGAATGCTTATCAGCTGTCAAAAAAAGGAGACCGGGGTTTGCAATCTGTGCTGATTTTGACAGTTAATTTTGACATAATTATATCAAAATGACTGAGAGAGTTGCCAGTTTAAATGTCCGTTTATATGTTTTTTGGATTATCTTGATAAAAATAGAAATTATAAAAGTTTATACATATTTTTAGTAATATTTATTTCATCATACTCATACTTTTTATAAATATTAAAAAAAATAGCTTTTATTTTTAACACCACTGATTAGTTAAATGATTTATGACTTTCAAGTTTTCAGTGAGCAAGACGATGTATTACAATATCTAATTACTAGTTTAAGATCACCAACCCGCATTGAAGTGTGGTAATTAATGCTCAAACCTTCTCCGTGCGAGAACAGGCCTTTTGTCAGCAGTGGCCAGACCAGACCACACTTATCACTTATAGACTGTTGATTAAGATGATGAAGACGATGTACTCTGCACTGTTAACACTACTTATTATTAAGTAGTGATTATTACTATTTTAAACAAAAGACAACACATGTAGATGACGTGGATATTACATTGACTTGCGCAATAAGCATATACCTACGTACTTTTTAGATGAAAAGAGAAACTGCGATGCGGATCTCAATTCATTTAATTAAATATGGCAACATTTTGAAGAAGCGCTAATGATAAGAATATTGTACCATTCTTATCACTTATCACAATAAATGATTGTTCGAGATTTCAACTCACTTGTTAATGGGTATATTTATAGAATAGATCATTTTATCATTCGTCAGTAGAGGTTTGCCTTACTAGTGCAATTCAAGTGCCTTATTGTGCAAAACTTAAGAGAAAATCATAAGTTTTTAACTGTTCAAAAGTAAACTTACAAGGTGACGAAATTTCGGAACAAGTTAGGCAAGTACATCTTTTATTTGTTTGTAATTACTTTTAACGAGTTCCTCAGGTCAAATGTACATGTAATCTATCTTATTACGTTCACTGAATGTTTAATATTAATGAACACATATTTTGTTTCTTGGAGTTGTGTGACTTAAGAAGTGAGTAAATGAAAAAAATATTTTATCTGAAAGAATTTGTAACAGTATTAAATAAAATAAATTATAGCTTACTAATATCAAGGCCATGGCCAATCTTAAACAGTTGGACAGAGTCAGGGTCATGTCTTCATAAATAATGTTGTGTTCATGTTGTCAACAATTTATTCTTCACAAGTGCATTAAATAGGTGAGTACCTATTTAATATTTATTGAACATAGTTTTAATAATCATCTAATTTTTGTTTTACAGAGCAACCAAAAGACAGAAGATGTGTTCAGTACCAGAAGATGTGAAATGTATTGTTGAAACAAAAGATGGCCCTATATGTGGTTATATTGATAAAAACGATGAAGGAACTTATTATAAATTTAGTAGTATCCCATATGCTAAACCACCCCTTGGTCGCTTGAGATTTATGGTAAGTTATAAGTTACATTTTTGTTGAATTATTAATATAGACAATATTTTAAAATCACTTTACAATTACCTGAGTTAACAACAACAGCCAAGAAGTGCCCATTGGTGAGCAAAGCATCATTTCATATGGAAAAGGAACAACACTTAGTCACCACCATTCTTGCTCAAGGCGGATTGGCAATTCCAAAGTTATAATTTAAAATTTCAATTATAATTAAATTTAATTTAAATTATAACTTCTTTAAATTAAATCATAATGATCATTCATCATTAATACATCAATAATACTTTTAATTTAGGTAGGTAGACTATACCTAGTATTTATAAAGTTGGAGTTGGTTTTCTATACTAAGGTTTACATGTTGAAAATGTATCATATAAATAATATTTGAAGTGAAACTGACCATGTATCTATTGTTTTTTAAATATAAATAGCTTATCTGAGATTATGTCACACCTAATTATTATCATAATTAATTAATAATCATCATTACAGAGCTAAACAAATAAATAAAAACAAACTGATTCAATAATTCTAATTTATGATACAACACATTTATTATTTTATATATGTATTTAAAATATGGAAATAATAAATGTATATATATGCTAACCTGGTATATAAAAGTATAATCATAATGTACCTATATAGTATGTGCTTTCACAAAAAATCCATGTTTTATACTCCTGATTTCCAATCAGACATGTAGATTTTTGATACACATTTCTAACTATACTTACTTACTAGTAATACATAACTTTACATCGCTGATTACCTTTTTGCAGCCTCCGTCTCCCATCGAACCATGGCAAGAACTACGAGATTGTACTACAAAACAACCCCTTCAGCTATGCTGTGTCTTAAATCGAAGTATAGAAGGTTCAGAAGATTGCCTCTATATTGAAATCTCAACTCCTAGTATACAGCCTGAAACACCTATGCCAGTTATGTTTTGGATTGGAAGTTTTGGATTTACAGGCACTATGGATCAACTATTTGATGCTTCCCTAATCAATAATGAAAACGTCGTATTTGTAAGGTGCGGCTTCCGATTAGGGCCATTTGGCTTCCTTTCTATCAATGACTTTACAGCACCAGGTAATTGTGGGTTAAAGGATATAGTCATGGCTTTAAAATGGGTGCAAAGAAATATATCTGTATTTGGAGGTGATCCAGACAACGTCACCATTTTTGGAAGTTCTTCAGGAGGAGCAATGGTCCATCTCATGATGTTATCCCCAATGGCTACTGGTCTTTTCCACAGAGCAATTATACAAAGCGCAAGTGCACTGAACAATTGGTCTTTAGCCAAGAACCCCTCCCTAGCTGTCATAGAACTAGCAAATGAATTGAACATCCAGAAAACGACTAAAGTAGAAATTATTGAAGAGCTACGGACTTTACCTGCGTTAGATATAATGCAAGCATTTCATAACATGGCACTAAGAACACAAAAGGCTGCCAATCATGATATCATTGACGCAATCTTCAAACCGTGTATCGAAGTTGACTTCGAAGGTCAACCTGCATTTCTTACGAAAAGCCCTCTTCTAATTCTGAAATCTGGAAACTTCAACAAAGTGCCTTTAATCATTGGTAGTAATAATATTGAAGCTGCATTATTGGAATTCATTAAAAAAGATTTTTATTCTGATTATGAGAAATTTAACGAGAATACTAGTCTTATTGTTCCTAGATCGATCGCCAGAGAAGACAAAGTAACAAAAAGTATTGGTCAACAATTACTTAAGTTCTATTTGGGTGGTGAAGAACACCTAACGGCAGAGACTAGAACACAGTACTTACAATTAATAAGTGATTACTATTTCTTATATTATGTCAATAGAACTGTAAGAATGCATAGTCAGTCGGCACCGGAATCCCCAGTGTACTATTATATTGTCAACTATGCTGGCGAGTGGTCAGTACCCACAGACATCAATTTTTTGAACTCTCCAGGGCATTGTGCTGAGCTTCCTTTTATATTCCGTATTAAAGTGCCAGAAATTTGCAAGGGTAGTCGAGATTCGGTGATCACACGAAGCAGAGTAATCAAATTGTGGACAAATTTCGCCAAAACAGGGTAATTATTAATTTGAATCTTAACCCAACCATTCATGTATCTTATTATATTCATTTGTTAGTCACGACTGTTTAACATATTTCTTTATGTATGTGTTAAATGCTGCCACACTTGTTCAAATTAATATTCATCTATGCAATTACAATAATACAAACAGGAAAAGGATATCTATATTTTATTGGTTTAAAATTGACTCTGTTTAATACAAAGTTAATATTTTATAAATACTCCCTGTATTTACAGTGAATGTATATTACAATGAGAATTCATTTTTGTTTGCAGCAATCCAACACCTGATGAAGATGACCCACTTTTACAAATAACTTGGGATCCCGTTGAAAATATGGATAAATTAAACTACTTGAGCATAGGATCAGAACTTACTAAAGGCAGAAATCCATTTTATGAGAGAATGAAGTTTTGGGACTCTCTTCATCAAGAACATGCGTTTCTTAGAACACTCGTTTATTTTAATGATATAGGCATTTCATGGTAGACAATACAACTACAATTTGTAGCTATATTTAGACTCATTCAAACCTCCATAATATAAGAAAAATTATATTATTTGGCCTTCGGTCTTATTGTAACTGTAGGTTATATTTTTGTAAGTAATTTTACACTTTACTTATACAAATAAATATTTTAGTTGTTTTATTGTTTGACAAAAGTTACTCTTTTTATACCAAAGCGAAATTCCCATATCTTTTAATACACAACTTAGCTTCCTCTTGAGTTGGATAAGAACCACAAAAGAAAGGAACTTAGGATTGAAAATTAAATGACATGTTTGTTGGTACCAATGTGTAATATAGCATGAAATGATACTTTCACATAACAATATACAAGTTTAATTATTTTAGTAACAAAAGCATCAAGGCCAACAAATACAATACATACTACAAAATAAATGAACTAGATACGCCATTATCTACAATAAAAAAATAAGAAGGCGAATTCCTTTGTTAATTATATAAATTAATAAAATAATCTATACATAATGGGTGCATAATATAATAATGTACACATTGTGTAGATAGTTTGATCTGAAAACAGTTAATTCATACGAAGTTGTAGATACTACCCACTTCTGTATACACATACATATCTGAAAAAAGAAATTTTCTTCAGTCACAATAAAGCAAAATAGTGAGTTTTGATACACGGCTAAAAGAAATAAATTGGTCATATTATGTTCAAACATATTTTATTTCCAATATTGCCGAGTAAGCATATTGCCTATGTATTACAAAGCTGATATTGTCAATATTGGTCAATATACCTACCTATATATGGTATGCTAACTACTATACGGTACATACACAAAACTATGATCTCACTTTTAACAAGCACTTTGATTCCAATAAATGTAGATGTTACCAGGTGTGTTTTAGTTATAGCCATAACCCATTGTATCTTTAATAATCTAATCAAGTATTACATGGGTCCTAATGCCATAAGCACTAAATTAATTTATGATAATTATTGCATTTAAAAGTATATGTATAAATAGGAAGTACATGTAGTGGTTCTATCTACATATAATCTTATTTTATATAGGTCAATTTTACGAATTGATTATGAATTATAACGTTTCCTTAATTCCTGTGTAATTTCCTAGTAGAATTGTGATATATTTTGTAAGAAACTTAGATCCAGCGCTCACTGCCGGCATGGCACGCCGCGGCATTCTGCCGAAAGCTCAGTCACTCTGCCATACCCGCTGCACAACCTTATTTTTATTAGCTTAGAAATCACATAAATGCTGCGGTAACCCGTAGAATTAAACGGCATGCCACGGCACTCTGCCACGTGCCGTGGCATTGCGATATCGAAATAAAGTAACATGAATCCTAAACTCATGGAAATAAGATTCTAAATAACTTGAGTAGTAACGTAAATTCCTTTGCCATGCCCCGCCGTAGCGTGCCGGCAGCGAGCGCCAGTCCTTATTGCACAGCATTTAAGAGCACAAAATGGCATAATGTCTATTCTTTTTATTTTACTTTTCCCCCAGTTCATGATTGCTGTGGCCAAATTTTGACTACAAATTATCTACGCAGATTTAAATTAGAATGTAAATATTCCTGAAAACAACCATGTCTAATGATTAACAAAAAACAATAAAATATCTAAATAATATATTAACTCCCTTAGGATATAAAAGATCATGGAAACAAGCTGTAGTAGTTATCCGCGCCACAATGTTAAATATAAAAGCTTAAATAATAGATTGATAAGATTTAAATGAAACTTTTCGAATTCCACAGTTGTGACTAAAGAAACAATAAATTTACAAAACATCACAATATAATTATACTCACTGCACGGTCAGCATCAATATAAAGTATAATTATAAGCCTAGGTTAGAATTGGAAGCCACCCATAGGAACCGACTGATCGGTATTGAATTGATATTGGTCCGTAGTAGACGACACCGCAGGCGCAAGTCTGCCATCCTCTTCTTCAGATCCAAAATAGTTCTCAATAATCTCAAAAGATTTTTGATAAATGTCAAGGTTTTCGTGTGACTGGAGAAATTCTATTTTATCCAAACCTGCAAAGGCAAAATGTTCTATTACACATCCAGATAAAATGATCTAAAACATTTTTTTTTTTGTGACAACAATACACATTAAGCGTCATGTTTAGTCTGCATGAATGAATGACTGCACGGTTGGTGCGGTGGCTGGACAACCGGCTGCCGTGCAACGTGTCGCGGGTTCGATTCCCGCACGGAACAACACTTTGTGTGAACCACAAATTGTTGTTTCGGGTCTGGGTGTCATTGTGTATGAGAACTTGTATGTTTGTAAACGCACCCACGACACAGGAGAAAATGTGGGGCAACGTTTTTTAAAGAAGAAGAAAGAAGAATGAAACATAAATAAATGAGATATATGAGAGATCTTACCAAAGCACTCTTCAATGAGGACGGCATAAGGATTGTCTCGTTGATCAGCTTGTTGCCCTGCCTTCAATATATTGTCTAATCCATTTAGAGCCACTTGGACAGTCTTAGCGTCCGTTAAAGTTAATAACTCGCATAAAGGTGGTATACAACCTTGCTCAACTAAATACCTAAAAAAAAAAACAAAAGCATGTTAGCAAAATAATACAACTACAAAATACAATGTCTATAAGAGACCTTAACCCTTTAACCGCCGACAACGTAATATTACGGTTTTCGAAAGCTGTGTCCGAATCGCCACATACGTACAATCACGTTATTTTATTAAAAATCTTCTTATAGTGCACAAACTCCATATAAAATGTGTCAATTTCAAGATGTAGGGTATAATCTTTATTGTTATGGATATTTCTCAATGTTTTGAGTGATAAATACTGTGAAATTTGAGGTTTAATTAAATTGTGGTCACCGTCTCCATTATCTGTATCGCCAATCACGTAATTTTACGAGTACTAGGGATGGGGCGAATTCGAAAAATACTTAATAGGTTGTCTAAGAACAAACAAGGCACTATAGATATTACTGTCACTATTTGCAATGAAAGTGTATACTTTCATTAGAAAATAACCATAGTGTTACTTTGATGCAAGTATTTGTACTAATTAAAATGTATTTAATTTTTAGCTTATTTATTAAGTAGGTAAATAAAACATTGATTTTAATTAATAAAGAATATATGCATCGATATTAAGTGTTCCCAACACTGTTCCAACTTATACCTAAAGTGACGTGGCGCTGGAGGTAAGTTGAAAGTTCAGAAGCTTGGCGGTTAAAGGGTTAACTGATCCATCCCCAAGCGGTCACCGGTGACCACTCTCCACTGACTCCAATTTTTTTTTTAAGGGGGAAAATCATCGAATGACTGCTCCCGTCTGGGTGAGGTGGGAGAGAGTGTCAGACTCTTACTGACTAAAAACCACCCCGTTTCTTCTCCTGCACGTCAAGCCGGAGCCCCGGTAACCCGTTAGGATCTCCGCGACTCCGAAACAGCATCAGCCCTGTTGGGCCCCATCCGTGGTGGTCTGATGGCTCTTTGAGACGCGCGCGGAACGCGACGCGCCGTACGCTCGGGTCTGTTTCTGGTCGGACGGGGAGCCACCCATGCTCGCCGTCCGCAGGCCCGCGCTTACGGTGGCCGGAGATCGTCCCGCGATCCCCGACGCTCGGTGTGTCCTTCGCGATGGCTGGGTTGCGAGGAGGGGTTTCCAGCGCTTCGCTGCCTCACGCGTCCCGCCTCCTCCTTAGCTAACATAACTGCTTCGCAAAAGGAGGAGACGGCATCCCAGTCCCCCTCCCTCCGCATCATGACCTGCACAAGGCTCGGACGCGAGAGGTCGCCATTGCCGATCACTTCCCTGAGGGCACCGGCACCCGCAGGGCATTCCCCCACTGTGTGTTCCACCGCGTCCTCAGGGCGGCCCTAGCAGTGATGACACCCGGGCGTTTCCTCCCGCCCCATCAGACACAAGTACCTCCCGAAACTTCCATGTCCGGTGAGGACCTGCGTCAGACGGTAGGTGAGGACGCCGTAGCGTCTCTCAGGCCACTCCTCAAAGAGGGTACTTACCGCTGCAATGGCAGCGAACCCACCACTAACTCCATAAGACCTTATTTTCGATGCTTAGAAACTACTTTTGTATGTACAAATTTTGGGGATTTATATCAGGTGATTGTGCATGAGTTTTGCGTTTTGTACATACCTAATTTGGTCATGACTGCCTCCACTAGTGGCATTAGTAATAGCCCAAGCTGCTTCTTTCCTTGTTTTAAATTCAGCTTGCCTCAAAATTTCAATCAGCGCTGGGAAAATGTTGGCATCTATTACTTCCTGTAACAATGCAATTTTGGTAAATAAACATTTTTAGTAAAAAGATTTATTTAAGCAAAAATATTGATTTAGTTGTGTACCTGAATCTGTGCAGCATTGCCAGCTGTTATGTTTGAAAGTGTCCAGCATGATTCCTTACGTAGCGCCTCTGTGCTGGACCGTAACAGCGCGTGCAAGTTGGGTAGAGGATTGCAGTTCAGCACTGCTTGTGTTTGCGCGTCATTGCCGGTCACAATGTTACCGACAGCTCTCAATGCCGCCGATACAACTGTTGATTTGTTGTGCCTGCCAAAAGATACAGTTAATCAATTAATAATATAGTAAAACAAATTTCACTACGTAGTATAAAACAAAATCGCTATCCGCAGTCTGTCTGTCCCTATGTATGCTTAGATCATTTAAAGTACGCAACGGATTTTGATGCGTTTTTTTTAATAGATAGAGTGATTCTTAAGGAAGGTTTACATGTATAATATATGTATATTGCACCCGTGCAAAGCCGGGGCAGGTCGCTAGTTTACAAATAAAATAAATTTACTATACTTAAATAATATTTCCGAATATTGGTCACCAAATCATAGGACATGTTATATTATACACTCACATTAATAGTTCCACAAGTCGCCTACAAACTCCAGCATCTATCACTGCTTGTATCTTTTCATTTGGTCCGTCTGACAGATACGAGAGAGCCCAGCATGCGTCGCTTAATACATCTGCGTCGGTATGATGTAGCAATCGCGCCAACACTGGAATTCCTGGAAAACACATTAAAGTTATGCAATTACAACAGTTCTCTAAAAATTGTATTGAAAAACGAGTTATACAATTAAACTAACCTGGAGCAACAGCTTCAAAGTTCGTCGGCGGATTTTTGCCTCTACACAAATTTGATAGAGTCCAGACTGCATTCTTCGTCATAGATAACCTGGTATACTTATTTAATATTCTGAAAAACAGAGAAAATAACAATTAGGACCATCAAAATAAGGGATGACGATATATCATTTTTATTTTAGTTTAAAGATTTTCTTATTTAAATTTGGATAAGTTAGGTATGTCAAGTTATAAAATAAGTAAATAAAACACAATTTTATTTACTTATTTATTACTTAACCTTTTGGGGAATACAACCAAAAGGATAATGATTCCAACAAGTTTTTTAACACAATTTTTAAATTTTTTTTTTTTTTTAAATTTATTTATTTGTCTCAGGCATCTTGGCCCATAGTGAAATATACAATAATACAATACAAATAATTCAGGTTGCAAATACTATACACACATATACATAATATTTAATTTTACTGCTTTTATATTATATTATAATTACTTACTCTAACAATGGTGGTAAGATTCCAGCAGCAAGCACGGTGTCCCGACAACGCGGCGAGTCCCCGGCGACGTTACCGAGAGCCCACACCGCCTGTTCACGGACATCGTCACTTGCGCCGCCCCCAACCAAGCTCACAAGCACAGGCACTGCACCACACTCCACTACAACACGGGTCTGTTCCGATGAACCAGATGCTATGTTTGTAAGAGCCCATGCTGCCTCAAACTGTAATCAAATAAATGAGAGATTAAAAATGAATAATAAATTATTTTTTGGTGACGCTAAAGGTGTATTGTAAAACATATATCCTCATTAAGAAGTTAATCATTCAATAAATTCAGTAAAAAAGTATAAAATTACTCTTTGAATCTTGTACACCATTAGCCATTGGTAATCTACAAGATGAAATTAAAATTGTGTGACATATTTTGTAAGGCTTTACTAATGATACCTATTGCAAAATATTGGAAGCATGTGCGGTGTTTACATTTTTGCAGTTTTTTTTACTTGGTGATTTATTCAAATTACTATGTATTTTGTTCATTACTCTTAAGTATTTACTAATGATAATTATAATATCCCTTAAATTATATGTCTAACTACATTTTAAAGGTTTTTCTTACTTTATTTACATGTTTGATTTGCATTCTATTACCTAATAATATGAAATTAGTACCATTAGTAGTCTAACAACCAATAATGATTTAACAATAGTGATTATAATAAATTTTAAATCGAAAATAGAGTGATAAGGAAACAGGTACTATGTACTATGCGGAGGAAGTTACTTATTAATATATATTACCTGTAGTGCTGGATTTATAGTAGTCAAAAATTCCACAAATTTAGGAACTATGCCAGTCCGAATCACTTCATCTATTGGAGGATTTGGTTCTTGACTCAATAGTTTTCTAAACTTTTGAGTTGCCATAACTTGTTCTTGGGGATTGTCGCTATATAAAGCAGCAACCATGGCTGGAGTGATGTCCTCAGATGCTGATATATTGATATCATCCTTAAAGTTAAACAAAAAATTATTTAATTTTTCATTTATGGCATTACTTAAATACAATATTTTACTTGAAAAAATTGTATCTCACTTCAACAATAAAAATACGAGAATTATTAAGTTGCTAAACAAATTTAATAGAAGAAAAGTTGTTTTGAGAATGTTTTTGCCATATTTTTGCTCTAGAAGCAAGCAAGTTTTGAGTTGGAGTAACAATGATTTACCTGCAATAAGTTGTCGGGTGCATTTGGTGCAGGAAGATTTACATTTCTTCTCTTGAAAAGCTGCTGTTCTCTTTTCTGTTTCCGGAGCTGCACACCTTCTTCTTCTCGACGGCGACGCAGTTCATCAGCACTCAAGCCTGCGTTCTTATAACGGTGCTTGTGACCACCAGACATCTTAAAAATAAACTTTGCAATAAATATCATACAACCACCTGCCTGACTATATTGATATTTGTATATTATTTGCAGTATATAGGTACTACAATTGAATTGAAATTGAAAATACTAGTTATGGTTTCCAATAATTCCAATAAAGTAGAGATAATTTATATTCCTTATCGAGTTGCACTAAATGCCTCAATTCTTTACCAGGACATCTAAGTTATTCCAACAATACCTAAAATGCATACCTATGTCAATTAAGTATTGTTTCGTGGTAATTAAAGTATTACGGCATAAAGAAATATGTACTCGAAAACATTGCTATTTATAGATGACACTGTAAATAATTACAACATGAAAGTAAGCTAAACATGCGAAAAGAATAGACATATAAAATTGAAGGCAAAGCAACACGATCGACGACATTATCGAGGAAAAACTGCAACCGAATATAACAAACAAATGCGTTATCCACTCATAGAATTAGAAAAACGTGTACTTACAATTATTATAAGAACCAGAAGGATAAAAAATAAAGAAAATTATTAGATTCGCAAATCAGTTCACCATCGATTAATTGAAAAAAAATATTAGTTGCATGTAGATTGTAGCTATTACTGTGAAATTTCATCGAACAGATGAGACAGAAAGTACCTTTATGAAATAAGCAATCACGTCACCTATGTTGCCAGATATATTAATAAAAATTCCTTATTTAATTATAAGAAGCTCCTTAGGATGGTTATTTGACAAAGCTAATATCAATTTATTTGCATGTAAAATATATAAGCGAATGTGGTAATTCGGTTATGATTTTAAACGTATAGCGTCAGAACAAATGAACCATCATCATAAATTTTTCCACCAAACCAGGAAAACTTAAGTAACCTGGTAACATCGTTTCATAGATAACATAATGGCATACAATGATGGCAGCACCGATGACACAGAGTGCCATTAAATCAAAGAGCCATCAGACCACCACAGATGGGGCCCAATACGGCCGATGCCGATTCGGAGTCGCGGAGACCCTAACGGGTAACCGGGGCTCCGACTCGACATGCAGGAACGGGGTGGTTTTTAGTCAGTAAGAGTCCGACACTCCCTCCCGCCTCACCAAGGCGGGAGCAGTCATTCGATGATATTCCACCCTTAAAAAAAAGGCCTCATCATCTTTCGATAATATTATTTTATCTATACTTACAATTTCTACGACAATATTCACTGAAATCTTATTTTAAAATATTATTTCTATCGTGTATGTATGTTTGTAAATGCACCCACGACACAGGAGGAAATCCTAGTGTGCGGCAACGTTCGTTTTTTTTTAATATTCATTATATACTTTATACATCACATTGTGATTCTATGCGTTTTGTACAGATTATCACGATGAATCAGAAGGCGTTCAAACGATTCAGATTTAGTACACCAGTTGAAAATAGTTAACAGACACACTAACTGGCTGTAATTTCAAGCTATGAATCAGTACCTACTATCGTATTTACTCGTTTACATTTTGTACAGGGGCTCTTATTATTTAAAGTTACTAAACTTGCAATGAAATTGAAATAAAATGCTAATTGAATTATATTATAAATCAATAATATTTATAAAGTCCATCTTCTTTGGTTGGACTTTAAACACCAAAAATTGCAAAACCCTTCCCAAATGAAATCGAGTATAATATAAATAACCTTTGAAATAATATTTTTTTATTCTTGTGCACACGCACCACTACGGCACGCACTGTCATAGATGCACACCTTCTCCACTTAAATTTATGCACACCTCACTATTTTCTATTGGCTGTGGCTGTTGATAATGACCTTGGTAATGACGTTTGTTGATCCATCATCTTTTTTTAGTCGAACAACCCAACCCAATCAAATCAGAGCAAAGAGTATAATAAGTCAGAGTAATCAGCTGTCAAATTAAAGTTCTGCTGATAGTAGGAAGAAGTTATTTCCCAATAATATAAGTTCATTAATTTTAAAAGTACTACCTAAATAAAACCACTAAAGTCTGTTTCTTAAAAAATTGTGACGAAATGAATAAAATAATTTCCTTACGACTTCGATCATGCCTGTGTTCTGCAAAGAGGAATTTTTGCGCACCGCCACCAAATACGCCGAGCTCCGCTTCAGGACCCACCAGTATGGCTCCAAGATACAAACCAACTGATTTCCAGAAGTTCATTTTAGTATGGACCAAAAAGTACAAATCAAAGGAAGAGATCCCAGCCTATGTATCGTACGTTCAACTTATTGTTTTTATGTAATCATTTATTTGAACCGATTCGAAGGGTCCACATAATAAACATGAACGTAAAAAAGAAAAATGATCTAATCATCAATTTAGTGATAAATTAACTTGTCCTACATGACCTTGTATTTCAAATTGTGTCACATCTTGACAGTGATACCCACTGTGCATCATTCTATATTGTTTTGTCCTCAATAGCGTCACGTATTTGCGATTGCAATAAAATGTTTTTGAATTTGAGACTTCCAAGCAGTGATTGCAAATAATATAATTATGGCTTATGATTAGTTTCTTATTATTAAATAAATAGTTCTGTCAATTTTAATACCAATTTTATTATCTTTTTCTAGTATATGCAAGAGTTAAGAAATTTTGCACATTGGACTAAAATATCTTTGGAAAAAGTTTTGCCTACATTGTCTACCTACCACCCTCATTTCTAGTTAACTTTTTGGGGACTAACACATCCACATGGTATCAATGAATATTATTATTGCTGAAATGATTAGATGTTTTAGATATTTGAATAACCAAATTAATTTATTACATACCATGTAGAGAAACATTGATGTCTAATAACCCATTGTTTTGTTTCAGTGCTGAAATCATTGACAAATCTCGCAGTCAAGCTAGGATAAAGATTGCAAATGTGCTCATGTTACTTACAGCACTTGCTAGTTTTGGAGCAATACTGGCTGGAAAATCAGCAGCCAAAAGAGGAGAATCTGTTCACCAATACAACCTTGATTGGCACAAGAAATATGATGAAGAGTTTAAAGCTAAGGAGGCTGCAGCCGCTGCAAAAGCTAATAAATGATGTAAGCTTGTTGTGAACTCATATGTTTTATGTAGACTGTAGTATATTCTCGAACACAAAATGTTTCTTATAAAAGCTTTATTATACACCTTTTATTAAAAGTTGTAAATTTTAGAGCAATTCTGATTACAGAGTGATCAATGTACAATATATATTATTATGTAAATAATTTATTAAAAGTTAATAAATGTTAAATGTGCAATATCTTCTTGTTTGTTCCTACCTTGTTTTTGTTAGCAAATTTGTGTCCACAATAATTTTATACTCTAGCTTCTTTTTCCCGGTGATAATGAACTATCTTTTGAATTTATCTTATCAAAGAAATCATACAAAAACAGTCAAACATTAATTGTGATTAAAATAATCGGGTTGAACAAGCTAGAGGTTTATAAGAGAAAAATATAATTAGATTGCATAAATTGATGTAGGTCTTACAATATTTCTGATGTTTTCAGGCTTAAAAAATGAAAGAAAATGAACAGTCTATATTGTTCTATTTATAACCATATATACACTAAATTCCAAATCAAGGTTAATTAAAATGCATGTCATCAGTCTTCATAAGTTGTTGGGTTTGTAATAACTTCTACATTTCTCTGTAAAAACTTTTGTTGTCTTCTCTTTAATGACTTCTTCCACACTAAGTTCTGTCTGCAAAAGTCTCAGCTGAAAAATACAGATTTTCAAGTAAGTATATAAAATAGGCATGGAAATTGGAAAACATTCAGAAATATACTCATAAGTATCAACTAAATAAGATGATGCTTTTACATTTTATTAAAGGTAGGTACTTAAATAATATCAGTAGTAGTCCACAAGACGATAAAATGTCTGGGTTATCAAACCTTTTTTTGTTCGGCTTTTAAGTTTTTCAGTACTTCAAAGTCGTTTGGTTTTTCATCTTTAGCCACCTTTAACTGTTTTACTGTTTCTGCTGTTACTAAGATACAATTTTTTATAACATTTTCTCTGTCTGAGTGCCCTTTTTGAATTTGAGAGTACAAATCTTCACAAGCAGAGTGAGCGTCAACTTTATTTGCGAATGACTCTGTCGGTATAGAAGTATTAAGAGCGTACACTATCTTATCGTCCATGACACGCATTTTTTTCAGGATATCCTGCAAATAAAACATATTCTAATAAATAACTAATTGGAAAATTGAGATAGGCGGTTTGAATAAAGACGGATTAAAACTGAGAGCTATAGGATTATGATATTCCTTAGCAAAAACTTACTTGGAATTCTAAAAAATCTGGGCAATTCATTTGACTAAACATTTTTGAGATTTTAATTTATTGGTAATATAATAAAGGACTTTTTGGTTACTTTCGCTCAATAAGATTTATTTTGAGGTTAGATCACAAAAATAATGTAGAGCAGTAGAGTTGACCTGTCAGTTAATGGAATTGTGTCATCATCATCGATATCGATAATTTTTTGGTCTGTGATATTTTTTTAAGACATAAAATATAAAATTTATAATGTTAATTCCTTATATCCCAATATTATGTAAATAAAATCAGAAAATAACATTCTTCGCGATAATTGATGCCAATAGCCCGGGTGTCCAAATAGACATAGACGCAACAAACATAACAACAGTTTTTGTCTGTGGTTCGTTCTTGTTTGTCTATGTGATTCTCCTTTTCATTTCGACAAGTCAAAATGAAGTACGTTTTTCACCAATTTTTATTTAATTTCTTAGTATCTGATTGATCTATACTAATTTTATTAATAATGTGATATATTCTGAAAGTGCTGTGATGACTTATTATTGTGTGTGATTGATTTTCAGGATCGGACTTTGCGCCTACAGTGGTTACAAGATCTATCCTGGCCATGGCAAAACCATGGTTAAGGTGGACGGCAAGGTATTATTTCTACTTTATATTACAATTAAGTTTAAGTAATGGTGTACTTAACGCTTCTATATTTGTCACGGAATTAAATACTACCTATATTACTTGGTTGTTTACTGGTTAATTAAAATTATCACATGATTTTCGATGTAAACATGGTGAAACACTAATAACTCGTTGTGTTAACAAAAACTTAGTATTAATTTGTGATATCTTCAAATTTTTGCAAATATTACCGTTTCTGTTTCCAGACCTTCACATTCTTGAACTCAAAATGTGAGGCTGCTCATTTGATGAGGAGGAATCCTCGTAAAGTGACATGGACTGTGCTGTACAGGTAAAATTATATTTTTAATTACATTACATATCATTGAAACTAAATAATTATAACCAGTAGAACACGAGAGAATGTTTGGTGTTGCTCATACATATCTTTAAAGTTAGCCCCAACTTAGTCTTGTTTTTGCTACTAACATAACCTCTATGCGGTATCTTTATTGAGGTTAGTTTCACTCATTTATGCAGTAAGAATTTAGTGTTATTTGTCGATAAAAACATTTATTTCTTTTAATAAAACACCCAGAGCTTTCTTTAAAAAACAACCCTTAAATATATGTATTAAATATTATTTTTTTTTAAACTTTAGTCATTGTATCTATGAATATTTAAGTTTTGTACCGTTTTTATTTTGATTGATGTCTACCATCACAGGTATTACCAAGATTTGTTAATGAAAGGGTTCTAATTTAAACTGTCTAACACTGAGCGCTCACCGGTGACCGCAACCTATTGTTCTTTAATTGTGTCTAATATGATGGCACTCAACGAGTTAAAACAACATCTTTTGATTACTTACCTTAAAAACTTTAGGAATATCCACATAAAAATACTTTACTTTTTTAGGCGCAAGTTCAAGAAGGGCCAAGAAGAAGAACAAACCAAGAAGCGCACAAGAAGGACGCAGAAATACCAGCGTGCCATTGTTGGAGCTTCACTCAGTGACATCATGGCTAAGCGTAACATGAAACCTGAAGTGCGCAAGGCTCAAAGAGATCAGGCCATCAAGTGAGTTACAGCTGATAATTCTCACTAAAATAGTAGATGAAATAAAGATTTGTTGTTATGGAAAATATAATCTTGAATAATAAATAAGAAAGAACAATAAGAACAATCTATAAGTTACAAAATTATGAAATGGGTAATGTATAAATACTTAAAAAGTAACCTTGTACTTTTTCAGGGCTGCCAAGGAACAAAAGAAGTCCACAAAGGCCGCCAAGAAGGCCACAGCACCAGCACCTAAGGCTAAAGCAGCACCTAAAGCCAAGGCCGCTAAAGTCAGTCAAAAGTCTGCCCCTAGGGTTGGAGGAAAACGATAAGACCTTAAATAATAAATACTGATTTTATAAGCCACAATATTTTTACTTTTATTTGTTACCTCACTGAAAATACATTTACTGTGTCACTGGGATGGCCTAAACTAAAGTAATAAAGATGCCAAGGGGTTTGATAATATTATTATGTTGAGAGAATATACAAAAGTTTATGAAAATTAAAATATTTAATTTTATAAACCTGTGAGTAGCGCAACGCTCAGTAAAACACGACAAAAGAAAATGTCTGAATACTGAATCGCTAAAAGAGAGGGAGGGCGAGAGAGAGATGCAACCTCAAATTTGAGTAAAGAACTCTTAAGACAAATATAATTCTGTCATTACAAACTCTGTAAAATGACAGATTGCTCGGTATTTATTTATTTTTTATGGCATAAGCCGGTAAACGAGCAGACGGATCACCTGATGGTAAGCAATCGGCGTCGCCCATGGATACCTGGAACACCAGAGGCGTTACAAGTGCGTCACCGGCTTTTTGGGGATTAGGAGTTTGAGGATCGTTGGGGATTCAGGGATTGGGGAGATTGGGGAAGGGGAAGGTAATTGGGCCTCCGGTAACCTCACTCACACGACGAAACACAACGCAAGCGTTGCTTCACGTCGGTTTTCTGTGAGGCCGTGGTATCACTCCGGTCGAGCCGGCCCATTCGTGCCGAAGCATGGCTCTCCCACACTTAAAA